TATCATAGATTTATAGCTTTTCTCCACAAATTTTGCCTTCCATCAACATACACCAAATGAAATATGGGATTTGCAAATTCGTGGGTGAATCTAAAAAAGGTTCAAATCTGTGTATCTCATAGACTTGTATTCCGATTTTTTACCCCCACAAACAATGAATTTATTCAAATTTATCATGTTTGGGATTTAGATGCCAAATCCATCACCCAAATCACACAAGCAAACAATTTCTAATATCGTGATTTAAGTTGTTGTTTTATTCATAGCTCTCTCCAAGGTAACCTTAATTTTCACAATTTCTACAATTGTTAAGACTTAAGAGTTTGCTAGGTGAAGTCGGTGAATGTTATTTTTATGTTTTTAGCAATTAAAACAAACAACTAGCTTTTAAAATGACCTATGAGACACAGCGGTGAAAGCAGAGAGTTGAAGGGAATTATAAAGAATGCATCTTGTTTATTGTATTATCATGCCAAAACTATATTTCAAAGGATTTGGGTAGAAAGACTTTATAAACATTTAATGACTCCATCAATTCAATGTTCTCTATGTGAAAAAACTTCAGCCAAGTATGGATTGAATTTGAAGTTGCGAATCTAAGAGGCTTTTTTTTTTTTGTTTTTTGAAATGTTAAAGGGCTGTATTTTAATGAATGCATGTACCATATGTATTCTTTTAATAGGGATATACATGTATTAATAGAATGGTTGCATTGGAAAATTACAAAGGTGATTAATTTGTTTGTATTGTTAGACTATAAATGTGAAGTTGTCTTTTAATGAAAATTCTATTTTTACCCCTAAAAAAACAAAAATGCTATTTTTACCCCTTCCTTTCAACATAAAAGCAAGCAAGAGTTAAAACAAGAAAAAGGAAACAATCCTAAAAAGAATAAAACAGTTTGGAAGTTAATAATAAACAAAGTTTATGAGTAGTTGCCATACTAGAGCTTAGGATTCAGAGTCCTAAATATGTAGAGATCATTGTAGATAGATTTCCTAAATGGGAAAAACGAGTTGATAACAACTCAAACGGTTTGGGTAAAATCTTGTTAATTTGGTGTAAAGAGGTTTGTTTAAGGGTTCTTCACCAAAATGATAAGTTCATCCAAGTCATGATAGGATCTAGAGTGTTTTAGAATTTTATATCTTGATTCGTGAGATTTTAGAGATATTCTATATCTTGATTCGTGAGATTTTCAGAGTCACTAAAATCTATGGATATCAAATCTCTCATAATTAGAGAGATTTTATATCTTGATTCGTGAGATTTTTTTCTCCTACTTTTTCTATTTCTTCTATTTATTTATCATATTAAATATATTTATCAACAAAATTTTTAATATTTCTCGAACCACTCTATTTTTTATTAAGGATAAACATATTATTTAATATAAAATAAAAAATTTAATTTCATTGAATGTTTACAATCACAGTTACCAAACAATAAACATTTTAAAATCTATTTTCAACAATCCGAAGAGTTAGAATCTTTTTTTTTTTTTTGAAGGAAAACTGTATTTATTTATTAATCAGTAGGAGCAAAGTTTTCAGTAGCATCCTCTCTAAGGAGAGGTACAAGTACTTGAGGTGGGTTGTTATACCAAACCTCTTCACTATCCCAAATACACTCCAGATGGGCCATCTTATGGGCCGACTTGTTTTTGCTTCGGCCCACCCAGCTCCAGCGAACCCGGCCCAAGGCCAGGGCTTTGGTCCGGATTTCCTCACACATCAGCCCAACCTCGGTTTCCCTTCTCTCTTCTCGGCGAAGCTGCTGGATGATGCCCTGGCAATCTGATTCCATTTCCACTTCCCCCATTCCTCTCCTCCTCGCCATTTCCAGACCGAAATCCACCGCTAGCACCTCTGCTTCTTCTGGGTTCCACTGAGTCCGGGATCTTTTAACTACACCGAACAGGAACTGGCCATCCTGATCCCTAGCCACCACTCCCCATCCCGTTCCTTGTCCATCGAAACAAGCCGCATCAACATTAAGCTTCACCGACCCTGCCGCCGGAGGCTTCCACCGCTGTTCCTCCTCCCTCGGCTCTGATTGAGACTTCATCTGCTTTGTCAGGTAATCGTGCAACCATTCACTCGCTCTGGGTAAGATCTCCCATTCTTCTAATTTCTTTTTATTCCACAAATGGCAGTTTCGCTGATCCCAGAGGTACCAGAGAGCCACCAGAAAGGACCCGAGCTGATCCTCTGACTCCGTTTCCTGCAGTTCACAAAACCATTCTTCTGAGGTAAGATTTTCGCCCCTCCTAACCAATGAGTCCATTGTGTTGTATCTCCAAACCCTGCGAGCCCATGCACAGTCCCGAAGAACATGTTCTTGGGTTTCTTCTAGGCCACAGAAAGGGCAGTCATCACTGCCTTGCTGGGTGCGTTTTAGAATTCGAAACCTTGTAGGTAGTATATTCCGCAACCATCTCCAAGCGAATACCTTGACCTTGGGTGGAATCTGTAGGTGCCAAACCTTCTTCCAATTGACTGGCGAATAGGGCTCGCCCTCCTCATTCACATTTCTTTCTTCCCATAATTTGTAGGCCTACTTTACAGTGTACTCCCCCGTTCTTTCTTGTCCCCAAATCCTTTTATCCTCAGCAGGCTGTCTTGGAATAGGAATTTTTAGGATATTAGAACAGTCTGTGGGATTAAAATGTGCTTGAATTAGGTCTGAACGCCAGCTTCTAGTGTCAGTGTCGATCAATTCAGCCACAGAAGTTGATGTTCCCCAATTGACTGTTGGGGAAGTCACCTTGAAAGTATTACTTGAGGGTATCCACTTATCCAGCCAGATGTCAATTTTGATCCCATTTCCCACTCTCCACCTTGCACCTCGTTTCACCAGGTTCTTTGCAGCCATTAAACCACGCCACACCCAACTAGGATTCCTACCTAGTTCAGCCTCCAGAGGGTCACAACCCTCAAAGTATTTTGCCTTCATTACTCGTGCCACTAGGGAATTAGGGAATTGGGATAGTCTCCACAGTTGCTTACCCAGTAGGGCAAGATTGAAACTCTTTAGATTGTTGACAATCTATAAATTTAAACTCATATTCTCCAAATGATCCCTTAATCTCATCTATATGCTTCTTGTAATTACTATAGGGGTTTGTTTTCACGTCTATTTAAGAAATATACAAACAGAATCCCCGGGGCAGCTGGGATATTGAGGTTTGTTTACCATCAAATAGACGTTTAAATAATCATTACTTCCTAGAGGAATTTTAAAATGTTTTAAAGCAAGGGTGTTTTAGAATTTTTGTTTTTATGGTAGAAACCGGATTTATGTTTGTAACGCTACTATACAAATTCAGTTTGTACCTATAACTTTTATGTATAAATTTTTTTATGGTACAAACTGAATATGTATTTTTGTGTAGGTACAAACTGAACCTGTACCATATTAAGTACGAATTTCCTTATGGTACAAATTTACCTTGTACTTTTAACGTGATTGAACAAGTTTAATTTGTACCTCAAAGCATTGATGGTTTAAAGCATATAATGGGAGGGCTCTACCTCCAAACCTTCTCGTCAAGTTCTATAAGCATCACCCTAGGTCAAGGATGGCGAAATGGGATCACCAATCCAAAAGTCAAGCATTGCCTTGCATAGCAAGTCATTATAGCAACTCTAAGCAAGGTACTAACGTGGACAATCTAGTCAGCAAAAGCCTGGAAGCCTTTCCCAGTGGGAATGTGGGCATCCTCAGATTAAACAGGGAGTTCCCCACGCCCAAAAGGGATCGAGCAAACTACACTGCCACGTAGGACAATAGATTTCCCAGTATTCGTATAAGGATATTGGAGCCACGTGTTTAAGTCCCGCATAAAATATATGCAGACACGTCACTGAATTCGTCCTCCCACTACGTAAGCTTACACACCCAAACCTTTCCTTCTCTTTGGCAAGTCGTTTTCCCCCCGCCATGAAATATGACACCGGAAAGCTCAAATCTCCGTTTTGGCGGTTCGCCACAAGCAAAAAAGGGGATTGGTTGTTTTTTTTAATTGTTATGGTTTGTAAGAATATCATAATTGTTGTACATAGGATAAGAGTTTATCAATCGATCAGAAAGACCCAAAACTAGCTAAGGCCTCAAGAGTCTCATGTTATGAAAATGGCTAGGTATCTTTAAACATGTTTGCTTGATACGAACATGTTATCCGAATCAAGTGATCACGAAATCATGTCTAGTGATGGTAAATATTATTGTGTGATATGTTTTCGTCGTGTTGGGCAATTCTATTCAAGTGATCATGAAATCATATGTATGTAGCGATAAACCAATGTTATTGTAGGGGGATCAAAGGACTAGTTAAGTTAGTTTGACAACACAAAAACCTCATTGTGATATTGTGTTTTTCTCGATAAGCTTACTCTTTTTTATTAAGGTGACTTTCTTTCTTTGCGATAAACATGCTAGCCAAGGTTGTTAATTGTTATAACATGTGATTGGTACAGTTGTGGACTGGATATTAGTTTTTAATTCCAGTGTGTTTAACTATTTGACGTGATTGCTATTTGACTTTGTAATTGTCATTAATGTCTCAACCACAGTATGGTCCTTGATTATTTATTTGTTTTAAGAGTAAGATTCTGCACGGTAATCAATAGAATTGAAAGTAAACAAACCCTGATGTTTGATTACGATGAAATCCATCTAGAAATTAGTCAATTACCCCTAATCCCTACGTCACGAGCTGATAAAACTTGCACCAATATCTCATGGCATAAGATTCAGTCTCCGATACTGAAAGCAATCAGTAGTAATTCATGGAAGATCACCAACCTCTTCCATGGTTTGTTAAACCGTATCGTACCAATTGTTCAACCGCAAAAGCACCGATATCGGAGGCTAACCCAATATGCACTACTTAGTGGTATTAATGATTGAACTACATTGCACTACGATTTCACCATAAAATACTCTACCGTTAATTTTTCCAGCACCGTCTCTGGTATGGTTTCACAAGTTCACTACATCTAGCCAAGGATCGAGTATATTCCTTGGCTCGCTCTAAACCTAATCTAATGTGTAGGGTTTCCCACCGCCAAGAGATCATGGGGAGGGAGCAGTAGTAACGAATTCAAAAGCAGAAAAAAACGAGAATCGAAGTGAATAGCGAAGCAAGGAATTGAAAGAGGAGGGCGGGCGTATGCGTACCTTTCACCGCCGGAGAATTCGAAGAGCTTGCCGCCCGCGGAGAAGACGATTAGAGCGACCTCGACGTCGCACAGCACCGAGAGCTCCCGAGCTTTCTTGAGCAGGCCGCCTTTCCGCTTCGAGAATGTCACTTGACGGGTGATCTTGTCCTCGATGTGGCGCATCTCCACCTTCCCTCTCCCCATTGAAGGCGGCCGAGCGACGGAGAAGAGGTGCGGGTTTTGGAAGCTTCCTTGGTTTCTAGGATTGAGCCGGAGCGAGGGAATGGCCAACTGGCGGGATCTCGCGGCGGTGCTGCAAGTAGTGAGTCAGTCAGTACTGTAGTGACCTAGACCTAGGTCAGGTATAAGCTCCAAAATTCAAGTTTTGAGGACGGTGTATATATAAGGAATGGAAAATACCATGACTATAACTACATGATCTTTCAAGGAAAATTCTATGAGGTGGTTTGCTATTGGGATTTTGATCAAGGATTTTGGGCTAAAAACCCACACTTATGGGATTATGGACAAAGTCCATGTTTGTTGCAAAAATTGTGTTGGATTGGTTCTTGTGGGACCCATGCATAAGGGATTATAGTGGGATCAAAATCCGTGGGGTCCACGGATTATAAAATCCTACCTCTTTAGGTGGAATTTTGGGAAGAGCCATAATCCATGAAAGCAAATGACAAAAGTAACCTTATATATTTTCAATATTCCGATGTTGCCCTCATTATTATTTGTAGGGTTTGACAAGCAGCCTCCATCACATTCCCGTTTGTGTACCGTATGAAGCTTACTCCGTCTCCCATTCCGTCACGAAAATGAGTGCATATTAGGCAATCAACTCTAAAACTAGTATTGAAATAGTGAATTTTGCATTTTAATTGGAATCATTAGTCTAATATGATTATGTAGCATAAGATAAGATGACAAATAATTCACGCATTATCATAAGGTATAAATTTTGAATCCTAGCCCTAACTCCTAAACTCTATCTATAAATTTTTAAACTCTAAATCCTTAAAATCAAAGTAAATTTTGAATGATTTTTTGCGCTACTACTTCATGTGATATCTTGTCCATCATATTTCAAAAGTTATGACTACATCCGTTTTTTTTACGCAAATCACCTGTTTGAAATTATAATTATGAGGCGAGTCTACAAGCTGCCTTCACATACTTGGTATGTTTTTCTTACACTATATATTGTTTGTTGTTAGTATGTCCGAATGACCATAAATGATAAGCCTTTTAGACTAGTGAATCGATAGTTTTCTCTCTGTTTTCTTCGCAATAAATTTAGATAATTGTTTGACCGTAAGTTTCGAATGTAACACACACTAAAATTTAAAGGATCAAGAATATAATATATCTGAGAACGTTCTAATATAAAAACATAAACGATATATGGAACACAAAAAAACGCATATTTAACTTCTAATCAGGTGTTTCTTTGAATATAAAGTCTAAAAAGCAAACTATTTTACTTTTTTCCCATAGGGAACTTAAAATACTATACAAAAGAAGTCCAGTTTTTTCTTGTAAAATGGAGACAATGGATGAAGAATGGAGAACACATAAAAGCTGGAAAAGAAAAGTTCAGGTGCATATGCAATAGAACCTAACATGTTATTTGTAAAAATAAAAATAAAATAGAAAGAACCTAACTTATTCTAGAGAGGGCATAAAATATGTGGTGCTTGGTACAAAGTTCGATGCATATAATTGAGTGGTTTTCATTATTTGGGCCTTTTCTTCACCTCCTTTTTCCACTCCACTAGGCACTAGAGAGTAGAGACTCATTTAGTTTTCTGCGGTGGGAATTCGACGACTAGTGGACTAGAAAAGTTGCTTCCGGCTTCAAGGAATATGGGCTCGAATGCTCCATGGAGTACGACTATCCTGGTAAACCTTTTTATGGGCTTGAGGTGGTTGGCCCAACAAGCACAGCAATGGCCCAACACGCAAAGCAAAGGCCCAATAGTCGGAGAAAAATCCAAGGTTCAAACTTGACTCTGTCTTACTAGATATACTTAATTAAACCCGTAACCGATGGCGGGTCAGAAGCAAGGCACAAACCCATATGGACTGGTTCGACCTCTCCTACGAACCGAATATTACAATTCAGTCAGGTCTAAATAATTTTCAATTATTTCCAATTTTGGACTATAAATGGATCCCAGATGTTCAAACATTTCTATGGTTTCTATCCCAAAAAAAAAACTTTTTTAAGGTCTAATCCTTCTCCCACACAGCAATAAGCAGTTAGCAAAAGTATTGCAGTTCGCACATAAAGCAAACAGTGAGCAAAGGCGAAAATGCAGGCGAAAAGGAAAGAAGAAAAACAGCTTCTTCGACGAAAATGACGATCGCGGGAATTGAAAACTACCAGCGGCAGAATCGCCGATTCAAACAGTTCAGGAATCGGTCGGGAGCGCGGGAATGATAACCAGCAAGCGAGAATTAACGAGAGAGAGAGAGAGAGAAACGGAGGCGTGGCGTACCTTTCACCGCCGGAGATCTCGAATGGAGCATACCGGTGCCGCCGGAGAAGAAGACGGCGAAGGCGGCGGGGTGATCCATCGGCATCGACGGCCGGCGGCAGCTTTCCCAGGCGGAACGGCACTCGGATCGATCGCCAAAGTCCATTTCTATCTTGATGGGGAAATTTGGGGAGGAAAGTCTTTGGGGAGAGGTGAGTTAGATATTTTATTTTTCCTGTACAGATATTAGTTATGACGGTGGGTATATTAGGAATAATAATAATATATATTGATTTTTTACCAGTAAATAGCTTTTTCGTGAAAAAAAATATCTAATTTGCCTCAACTCTTTTTTTCTTTTTCTTCTTTCTCTGTAACACTACTATATATTTAACGTGATTATCAAATGGGTTTTATATTGTTACTAGGTGGCGATGCCTCGTCTTGTCGCGGGTGGATATGGTCTATGGGAATGTATTATGTGGTTTGTTATGGTGTTTTGCTAGTATTATTAGCCTAAAATTAATTTTTTGTTGGCAGCTTTGTTAGTATTATTGACTTGACCATATAATATTGACTGAGGAGATATATGACAGCCGATTTAATTTTTTTAAAAATTTTGGCTAATAAATGATATTTATCTAATCCAAAGTAGACCCATTGATTATGGGTAGGGTATGAGTGATGTATATATGGGTTTGGAAATTTGTAGATGAGTTTGGGTAGGGTATGGATATTTACTTCCATAATCTAAATGTGTATGAGTTAGGTACGGATACCCATTTATTCGAGGGTATTTTAATTATACATACAAAAATTAGACCTATTTGTAGAACTTTAAGAGTTTAGGTACTAAAATGTAATACACAAAATTTTAGGTACTAAAATGTAATGTTTCACCAACATTTTGTGGACTTATATGCCAAAAAAAAATAATTTTAGGTTATAAATCTAGGATCTATTAAGTTTAGGTAAGAAACTATAATTTGCATAATTGAGACTAAATTTCTTTTATGGTGATGTATGTAAGATGATAATTATTAATTAATTTTTTATAGAAAAATAAAAACCATTCATTTGATATGTGTAGATACCTAGCCAAATATTCCATCTATAAGTGGTGAAAATTCTAACCTGGGTGAAAAAGAAAAACTCTAGAGAAAAGCAAAATGATACAACTGGAACTCGCTTAAAATTTCACGCCTTCAAATCACATGGTTTAAAATGATGACTATCTAATAAGTAATAATCATATATATTTATTTTTAATTGGACTCAACATTGAGCTGAAAAAGTTAGTGGCTCATGGTTCAATTATTAATTTTTTAGACTGTTGATGAGTCGTGTATGGGCCCGTTCATATTTGTGATTAGAACATAAAAATAGTATACTAATTAGGGTTAGATGAAGAAAGAAAAGAAAAAAAATAAAGAAAGGATTAGGGAAGGCGAGTGAAAAATGAAATGAATATGAAATAGATAATGGAAAGGTTTTGACAAATTCTTTTAGTTGGCCGTCAATACAACAGTCAACTTTTTTCACTGTAGCAATTTATTGACACTTGCTTATGTAGATGTCACATCTTTCGTTACATGTAGTTAGTATAAGTTTGTTTAGTACTTTGTAAATGTAACTAAATGAGTTTATAAATTCGCTCTTGCAATATTTTAGAGTCATCTCTCTTTTATCTTTTATTTAATGCTTCATTTAATGAGCAAATATAAAATGGTTGAATTTTCTCCTGCACTTAAATGATACAATATCTTGTATGGTACAAACTAAATTTATACTTTTATGTTATGGTTGATTGGATTCATGAATTAGTTCAAAAGGATTGGTTTGGATTCATGGATTCAAGTAAAATCTAAACATTGGACCAATATGTAAATTAAAAAATTGTAGGTACAAAAATCTCATAAAATTTAAATACCAAAACATAATTGTTCAATAATTTTACATGAAAATTAAATTTGAAGTATCAAAATGTAAAATATTACATAGTGACTAATTTGCAACTTTTTAGGCAACAGTAATTGCTCTTCAGCTTTATATATATTAATGTCAGTTTAGCAGTATAGTCTTATTGTGATACAATCATTTTTATACCAGTTTTAGTAAAATATCTAGAAAAAGTGAGGAATTAGTAACACGAAATGAATTGTGCTTGTATAATTTGTCTCAAGACTATCTTTCTACAAGCTAAATTCATATTTAAATCTAATAAACATTACAAACAAAACGATAAATTCTCATATTTACATAAAAAACATATTTGTTAATTAGATTCACCAACATTAAATCATTTTTATTTATGGGCCAAAAATTTGTCATACTAGTAGAACATTGGTTTTCCGGTATTGCGATTTTGACCAATGATTGTCAACTCGTACGTGAGGTTATACCGCAAAAATCTAGTAGGATATTTTGTATAAAATCATGGTCTAACTATGATTGGACCAATTCACTATTAAAATTGTCTATCATTTTGGATCCAATATTTTTTATCCAATGAAACGGTAGGGTACAGTTTCTAAAATATTAGTTTTGACTATCATTTTATACTGCTAGTTTGTGTTTGATATCGACCGGCATACCATCGGTCTAACAATCATGGTGCTTATTCTTTTTGTTAGTTGATTAGCTTGTGTGCACTTAGCTTAAGTTTTTTCATTTATAATCGATGGCGAAGGTACATATAATTTAGTAAACGTTACAAAC